TGGTGGACCACAGCTGCCTGGTGGTGGTGGTGGTGGTGGGACCACAGCTGCCTGGTGGTGGTGGTGGTGGTGGTGGTGGTGGTGGTGGTGGTAGGACTCACGTGCAGAAGAATGAGACGAGACTGTGTGTACACAAATGTAGAAGCAACAGATAATCAAGTGGAGGACGTGAGGGAGCGTGGTGGCTGGGCATGACATCCAGCGTCACGTGAACGCTCGCTACGATGTCATTGGTAAGCTTCGCAGCCCAACAATTACTGCAGTTAGTCCACATACAATATCACGGATGAAAACATGTTTTTCTTCCAGAAATTTGATGGTTTGCGTATCTTGGCTGTTCTGTCTGAACCCTCGTCGATAATTAACATCTCCTCAGAGGTGAACAATGTTCTTCACTCTCCTCTTGACGCAGAACAATGGATCTGGTCCGGCCGGGCCACCTGGACCACGGTACTTGCGTGAAGCAAAGCGTCAAGTGACGCAGTGCTATGACTCCACGCCTGGCAGCAGCTGAGCTAGAGCGAACAAAGGCAGGCACGGGAGTAACGACCAACATTAACCAACGTTTGGAATTAAGCCAACGGTAAAATGCTCGTAAAATAAGAATAACGGAGCCGACGAAACAAAAGCAGTTTAATCAAGGTGATGGGCCTCGCCTGACACGGTTGGGCTAGGGTCAGTAAGTGAGCTAATATCTCGGCCGCTCCCATCTACAACTAAACCAAATATTATGTCAGCGTCAACTACCTTTTCGCGTGCCGTCCTCCCCCTCCCCCCCCCCCCCCGGGGAGTGCGTGGGGGGGGGGGGGCAAGAAACACAGGGGGGACCAGAATTGGCTGTTTTGGTCACCACGTGATTTGGTTCGTCTGCTTTTTACGGTGTTATTGTTTGTTCCTTGTTGCTAAGGGAGGAGTAGCGGCGCCTCCACGAGACTCTTGCTCAAGTACAGATGAGCTCGAGTCTCTGAGATGAGCTTCAGTCCCTGAGATGAGCTTCAGTCCCTGAGATGAGCTTCAGTCCCTGAGATGAGCTTCAGTCCCTGAGATGAGCTTCAGTCCCTGAGATGAGCTTCAGTCCCTGAGATGAGCTTCAGTCCCTGAGATGAGGTTGAGTCCCTGAGATGAGCTTGAGTCCCTGAGTTGAGCTTGAGTCCCTGAGTTGAGCTCGAGTCCCTGAGTTGAGCTCGAGTCCCTGAGTTGAGCTCGAGTCCCTGAGTTGAGCTCGAGTCCCTGAGTTGAGCTCGAGTCCCTGAGTTGAGCTCGAGTCCCTGAGTTGAGCTCGAGTCCCTGAGTTGAGCTCGAGTCCCTGAGTTGAGCTGGAGTCCCTGAGATGAGCTTGAGTCCCTGAGATGAGCTTGAGTCCCTGAGATGAGCTGGAGTCCCTGAGATGAGCTGGAGTCCCTGAGATGAGCTTGAGTCCCTGAGATGAGCTTGAGTCCCTGAGTTGAGCTTGAGTCCCTGAGTTGAGCTTGAGTCCCTGAGTTGAGCTTGAGTCCCTGAGTTGAGCTTGAGTCCCTGAGTTGAGCTTGAGTCCCTGAGTTGAGCTTGAGTCCCTGAGTTGAGCTTGAGTCCCTGAGTTGAGCTCGAGTCCCTGAGTTGAGCTGGAGTCCCTGAGATGAGCTTGAGTCCCTGAGATGAGCTTGAGTCCGTGAGATGAGCTTGAGTCCCTGAGATGAGCTGGAGTCCCTGAGATGAGCTTGAGTCCCTGAGATGAGCTTGAGTCCCTGAGTTGAGCTTGAGTCCCTGAGTGAGCTTGAGTCCCTGAGTTGAGCTTGAGTCCTGAGTTGAGCTTGAGTCCCTGAGTTGAGCTTGAGTCCCTGAGTTGAGCTTGAGTCCCTGAGTTGAGCTTGAGTCCCTGAGTTGAGCTTGAGTCCCTGAGTTGAGCTTGAGTCCCTGAGTTGAGCTTGAGTCCCTGAGTTGAGCTTGAGTCCCTGAGTTGAGCTTGAGTCCCTGAGTTGAGCTTGAGTCCCTGAGTTGAGCTTGAGTCCCTGAGTTGAGCTTGAGTCCCTGAGTTGAGCTTGAGTCCCTGAGTTGAGCTTGAGTCCCTGAGTTGAGCTTGAGTCCCTGAGTTGAGCTTGAGTCCCTGAGTTGAGCTTGAGTCCCTGAGTTGAGCTTGAGTCCCTGAGTTGAGCTTGAGTCCCTGAGTTGAGCTTGAGTCCCTGAGTTGAGCTTGAGTCCCTGAGTTGAGCTTGAGTCCCTGAGATGAGCTGGAGTCCCTGAGATGAGCTGGAGTCCCTGAGATGAGCTGGAGTCCCTGAGATGAGCTTGAGTCCCTGAGTTGAGCTTGAGTCCCTGAGTTGAGCTTGAGTCCCTGAGTTGAGCTTGAGTCCCTGAGTTGAGCTTGAGTCCCTGAGTTGAGCTTGAGTCCTGAGTTGAGCTTGAGTCCCTGAGTTGAGCTTGAGTCCCTGAGTTGAGCTTGAGTCCCTGAGTTGAGCTTGAGTCCCTGAGTTGAGCTTGAGTCCCTGAGTTGAGCTTGAGTCCCTGAGTTGAGCTTCAGTTCCTGAGTTGAGCTTGAGTCCCTGAGTTGAGCTTGATTCCCTGAGTTGAGCTTCAGTCCCTGAGTTGAGCTTGAGTCCCTGAGTTGAGCTTCAGTTCCTGAGTTGAGCTTGAGTCCCTGAGTTGAGCTTGAGTCCCTGAGTTGAGCTTGAGTCCCTGAGTTGAGCTTGAGTCCCTGAGTTGAGCTTGAGTCCCTGAGTTGAGCTTGAGTCCCTGAGTTGAGCTGGAGTCCCTGAAATGAGCTGGAGTCCCTGAGTTGAGCTTGAGTCCCTGAGATGAGCTTGAGATCCTTCTTCATCTCCTGGGTCCTTGTTCATCTCAAGTCGTTGTTCATGTACTGGGTCCTTGTTGGAATCTTGGCCTGGGATGGTATGAACAAAGAGCAATGTTCACCCCACAGGTCTTTGATGGGACTCCCCGCCCAGGTGCCAACACGGCAGCTTTAGCCGACCTCATCCACGGCAGCTGACCGGCTTGAATCCGAATTCGAGAACTGATCAACGCGCCCTTTAAACACTGACCAAAAGCTGCCATTCAGCAGCCGCCCGAAGTGTTTATGAATGAAGGGCGCGTACACACACACACACACACACACACACACACACACACACACACACACACACACACACACGTGTGTGTGTGGGGGGGGGGGGGTACAGGGAGGGTTGGGGGTTCCCCCCTCACCTCTGGGGGCTGGGATTTCGTGGTTTTCTCCTCTCACCCTGCGCCTCTTCCCCGCTTCTGGTGCCCTGGTTCTCTCCTCCCTCATCATGTCCCTCTGGAGGAAGACTTTTTTGTGTTCTCTCACATCTAGCAGTTGGCTCTTCTTTGGTAGAATTTCCTCCTTCGTGGTCTCGTTTGTAAACACCGTCTTCATGATCCCGCCTGTCTAGCCTTCGGTTGTTTACAGCAATGACTCCTGTTCTACTTCTCTGTCATACATAAACAAATCCACAGGGGCCGTGACGAGGATTCGAACCTGCGTCCGGGAGCATCTCAGACACTGCCTTAATCGACTGAGCTACGACAGGGTTAAAAGGGTTATCATACATAGTTTTATGTATGATATCATACATAGTCTTATCATACATAGTTTCAAAGTTATGAATAGTGTTTGCTTTCACAATGTGCCTTTAAATCATTTCATTTCCCCACTACTCTCACGCTAAAAGAAAACTTTCTAACATCTGAGTTTCCAGCTTCCACCCATTTCCCCTTGTTCTGTTAGTATTCCGTGTGAACATTTCGTAAATTTCCACTGTGTCAATCCCCATAAGTATTTTGTATGCTGCTATCATATCTCCCCACTCCTTCCCTTTTTCTAACGTCGTCAGGTTCAGTTCCTTCAGTCACTTTTCATATCCCATCCCATGTAACTCCGGGACTAGCCTCGTTGCAGAGTTTTATAACCTTTTCCAGTTTCATTATATGCTTCTTCAGGTGGGGACTCCATGATGGGGCGGCATACTCTAAGACTGGCCTCACGTAGGCAGTGTAAAGCGCCCTAAATGCCTCCTTACTTAGGTTTCTGAATGATGTTCTAACTTTTGCCAGTGTAGAGTACGCTGCTGTCGTTATCCTATTTATATGTGCTTCAGGAGATAGATTAGGTGTTACGTCCACGCCCAGGTCTCTTTCTCGCGTCGTCACAGGTAGGCTGTTCCCCTTCATTGTGTACTGTCCCTTTGGTCTCCTATCACCTAGTCCCATTTCCATAACTTTACATTTGCTCGTGTTGAACTCCAGTAGCCATTTCTCTGACTATCTCTGCAACCTGTTCAGGTCCTCTTGGAGGATCCTGCAATCCTCATCTGTCACAACTCTTCTCATCAACTTTGCGTCATCCACGAACATCGACATGTAGGACTCTGCTCCTGTAAACATGTCGTTAACATATTAGAAATAGAACTGGTCCTAGCACCGATCCTGCGTCATGCCCTGCATTGTACCCATATGATGGTGTGTGTACTTACCTAGTTGAGCTTGCAGAGGCTAAGCTCTGGCTCTTTGCTCCCGCCTCTCAACTGTCACTCAACTAATGAACTGGTTCCTGAGCCTATTGGGCTCTATCATATATTCACTTGAAACTGTGTATGGAGTCAGCCTCTACCACATTACTTCCTAATGCATTCCATTTGTCAACCACTCTGACAATAAAAAAGTTCTTTCTAATATCTCTGTGGCTCATTTGGGCACTCAGTTTCCACCTGTGTCCCCTAGTGCGTGTGCCCCTTGTGTTAAATAGACTGTCTTTATCAACCCTGTCGATTCCCTTGAGAATCTTGAATGTGGTGATCATGTCCCCCCTAACTCTTCTGTCTTCCAACGAAGTGAGGTTTAATTCCCGTAGTCTCTCCTCGTAGCTCATACCTCTCAGCTCGGGTACTAGTCTGGTGGCAAACCTTTGAACCTTTTTCAGTTTAGTCTTATGGTTGACTAGATATGGACTCCATACTGGAGCCGCATACTCCAGGATTGGTCTGACATATGTGGTATATAATGTTCTGAAAGATTCCTTACACAAGTTTCTAAAGACCGTTTTTATGATAGCCAACCTGGCATATGCCGCTGATGTTATCCTCTTGATATGGGCTGTAGGTGACAGGTCTGGCGAGATATCAACCCCCAGGTCTTTCTCTCTCTCTCTGACTCTTGAAGTATTTCATCTCCCTAATGATACCTTGTATCTGGTCTCCTGCTTCCCACCCCTATCTTCATTACATTACATTTGCTTGGGTTAAACTCTAACAGCCATTTGTTCGACCATTCCTGCAGCTTGTCCAGGTCTTCTTGAAGCCTCAAGGTGTCCTCCTCTGTCTTAATCCTTCTCATAATTTTGGCGTCGTCAGCAAACATTGAGAGGAATGAGTCTATACCCTCTGGGAGATCATTTATGTATATCAGAAACAGGATAGGTCCAAGTACTGAGCCCTATGGGACTCCACTGGTGACTTCACGCCATTCTGAGGTCTCGCCCCTCACTGTAACTCTGCTTCCTATTGCTTAGGTACTCCCTTATCCACTGGAGCGCCCTACCAGTTACTCCTGCCTGTTTCTCCAGCTTATGCATCAACCTTTTATGGGGTACTGTGTCAAAGGCTTTCCAACAGTCCAAAAAAATGCAGTCCGCCCATCCTTCTCTTTGTTGCTAAATCTTTGTCACCTTATCGTAGAATTCTATCAAGCCTGTAAGGCAAGATTTACCCTCCCTGAACCCATGTTGATTGGTTGTCACGAAGTCTCTTCTCTCCAGATGTGTTACTAGGTTTTTTCTCACAATCTTCTCCATCACCTTGCATGGTATACAAGTTAAGGACACTGGCCTGTAGTTCAGTGCCTCTTGTCTGTCACCCTTTTTGTATATTGGTACTACATTAGCAGTCTTCCATATTTCTGGTAGGTCTCCCGTTTCCAGTGACCTACTATACACTATGGAGAGTGGCAAGCAAAGTGCTCCTGCACGCTCTTTCAATACCCATGGTGAGATTCCGTCCAGCCCAACAGCTTTTCTCACATCCAGCTCCAATAGGTGCTTCTTGACCTCATCTCTTGTAATTTCGAACCTTTCCAAGGTCACCTGGTTTGTTGCCACCTCTCCTAGCGCCGTGACTTCTCCCTGTTCTATTGTAAAGACCTCCTGGAACCTTTTGTTCAGTTCTTCACACACCTCTTTGTCGTTCTCTGTGTACCTGTCCTCGCCCACCCTAAGTTTCATCACCTGTTCCTTCACTGTTGTCTTCCTCCTGATGTGACTGTGTAGTAGCTTTGGTTCGGTCTTGGCTTTATTATCTATATCATTTTCATATCTTTTCTCAGCTGCTCTTCTCACACTACCATACTCGTTCCTGGTTCTCTGGTATCTCTCTCTACTTTCTGGTGTTCTGTTATTACGGAAGTTCCTCCATGCCCTTTTGTTCAGCTCCTTTGCTTTCATACATTCCCTATTAAACCACGGATTCTTCCTTTGCTTCTCTGTTTTTTCCTGTCGGGCTGGGACAAACCTGCTTACAGCCTCCTGACATTTTTGGGTGACGTAGTCCATCATGTCTTGTATGGACTTGGTTCCGAGTTCTGTGTCCCAATGTATATCCCATAGGAATTTATTCATCTCCTCATAGTTTCCCTTTCGGTACGCCAGCCCTTTGGTTCCCAGTTCTTTTTTGGGGGTGATAATTCCTAGCTCAACCAGGTACTCAAAGCTCATTACACTATGATCACTCATTCCCAAGGGGGCTTCCAACTTAACTTCCCTTATATCTGACTCATTTAGGGTAAATATCAGATCAAGCAAGGCTGGTTCATCCCCTCCTCTCATTCTTGTCGATCCCTTGAAGTGTTGACTTAGAAAGTTCTTGTTGCCACATCCAGCAGCTTAGCTCTCCATGTGTCTGGGCTTCCATGTGGGTCTCTGTTCCCCC